AGAGCTAACTTGAGGTGCACCTCCACAACACATCCGCTAAAAGACAAAAAACAGCAGGGCTATTTTTAGACATTGAGAAAGCTTTTGACAGCGTATGGTATAAGGGACTTCTATTTAAACTCAATAATTTTGAACTGTCCAAAGTATCTTATAAAATAATTACCTAATAGCTTTTTGCAAGAAAGATCATTAGTATTTTCGATTGGACAAAAAACTTTAAAAACATTTACACCAGAGCAGGGAGTTCCACAAGGTTCTCCTCTTTCTCCTTTACTATACAACCTATACTGCACAGACATCGTCAATCTAGCTGCTATAGACCTTAAAAGTTACATTCTTTAATTTGCAGATAATACTGCAATAATTGTCCATGTCCATGAAAAAAAATAAAAAAGCAACTAAGCAACTTCAAAAGTCATTAGAAAAGGTGGAAGAATGGTGCAACAACTGGAGACTGGAGATCAATCCAAATAAATCACAATTTATTATATTTAACCCTCCTAAGCCCAACTCTCCAAATCTAATTATCAACAGCACTACAATATCCCTGAAAACTACAGTTAAATAACTAGGCATCCAACTTTACAATAAAATAAACCATACACAGGCGGCAAAGAAAATACAAGCCAGGGCAAAACATTTTGGAGCATACAAAGGAGATGGAATAAACACAAATGTTGCCTGCAAAATCTATAAGACCATTTGCAGACCCATTTTGGATTATGCTTGGCTCACTAATGCCCCAAATTCTACACTAAACAACATTCAAGTGTTAAGACGTCAGCTCTTAGGGTCCTTACTATAATAAGAGGGTCGAATTCTATAGAATTCTATAGAATTCGCCCCTACACAACCCATCAAACCTTATGCTGTACAGAAGAACAAGGATTGAACCAATCAAGGAAAGGCATCCCAGGCTAACCTTAAAGTTTTGTGTAAAACCATGTAACAAGTCAACATTAGAAGAACACAAGGAATCCAGAAGAACAGAAATTTAAACACCCTGAAAAGACTTTATTTGAAATTGTCCAATCATTTCAAGAATAACTGATATTTTTATATGCATATGTTTTTTTTATACAGACCAATATTTCAAACATTTGTTTCTTATATTAATATATTTTATTTAAAATCAAATTAATTGTAAATACAATACCTCGGTCACTAGCCATTTAATCTTTGATTGTATTATAATATGGATCAATAAATATATTTTTAATATTATTATTATTATTAAAAAAAATATTGAAAGATTTGAAAATAAATTATCTTAAAATAACGTTGGGCATCAAAAACCTATGTGTAGTGACGGATGAGTTAAAATTATTTGAACTTTCTCCGTCAGACGTACGAAGTTGAAACTTGACGGACTAATGAAATGTCATAATTTTCGAATTATAATTGGACCAATAGGAACGCTCCCGGATGATTGAAATAACGGACAAACGGATACATAAAAATTAAGCTTAAGAATGAAACTACATTTTATTTGTACGCAATGTTGACATTTAACCTTTTTAAATAACGAAGGTATATTATTGTACAATTTCCTGGGATTCTTCAGGGTCCGTAGATCACCTTCAAGGTGGTGCGTGACTTCTGGGACATGCTGCAGCATACATGTATAAGGTCTTGAAACTCCGCTTTCCGATATAGCACACCAAATTAAAATTTTGTCTTAATTTTTATAGCTTTGTATTTATTTTCTACATTATCGGTATAAAACCATAATTGTCCTTTATTTCTAAGTGAGATAAATATTTTTTACCATTTATTATGATCACTTCGAAGTTTGCAAAATGATTTCAACGTAATCTACGACAACAAATTGGAATTATTAGTAACTGATCCTTTGTATAACGTGGACAAGTCCTTACGGTACTTTAAGCGTTTTTTCTGCAATACCTACCCTTCTTACAGTTTGATGATAAACATTAAAACTTTAGGCATAAGGGGATAAGTCAAAAAAGCAATTGTTCAATGGAGCCTTTAACGTGTTCGAATTAATTCAGAAAATATATATATATATTTAGCGGGTATACGCTTTTGTTAGCATATGACATGTGCTAACAAAAGGGTATATAATATATTTCCTGAATTAATGCGAATACGTTTAAGGCTCTAATGAAAAATTGCTTTTTTTACTTATCCCATTATGCCTTTTACCCACAGAATTATTCTATAAATGGTTGTCTTTGAAATAATTTGATTGCGTAATTATTTTATAATTTCAGTTACGTGTCCCACCAGTAGTAAATACTAGAATTTCAAGTTCATACGACTTAAGGTCGAAAATTATTTGACGTCTACGAAATGTCATTACCAGTTTAAGTATATTTGTTTACCATGGCTAATAGATTACAAGTCATTTACATTTATTTTTAGCTCGACGAAAATTTTCCCAAAACTTATGTAAGAATGCACAATGAACTATTTAATAAAAAAAAGTTTTATTTTAATTAATTTCCATTTCCAAAATACAAATATATTGGTAAAAGAAAAAACTTATCAATAAGCAGTGCTTATCTACTTGTTCTATTGTCATTACACAGTATGGTGTAAAACACATTTTTTAAAATTAACAAACAACGCATTAAGTTGCTTTTTAGTTTAATAAAATAAAAATATTTACCATTTTTTAATTTGCTCTTTGACTTGCGTATACGCTATAGCTTCGCCTAGTGCAAATTGAACTTAACCCACGCACAACTCATGCTACTGTTGTTCAAACACAGATACCGCATTCCATGCGCGTTCGAAGCGGTATATGTGAGACTTACAATGCTGTGCTGAGGCTGGGTTGGTTCTTGTAAACCTTTAATTTTAAGTAACACATCTCCGGCTTATGATACTTAAAAATTTATTTGGGTTTAAATAAAAAAAGTTAATGACTACCTATTATAATGCTTTAAAGCAAAATTATATGAATGTTAAATTACAATATTAATATCTGTTTTTATAACTTTAAATGTCCTATAGGACAGCAAATTTAAAAATGGTATATTTTTGTAGATTTATTTATTTAAAATTATTTCACTTATCAATCTTAAATTATTTGACTTTTGACATTTGACCGGTCGCAAGCACAATATTATTACCAACGATTAAACTTCTTTTTTTATTTGGAATCCACATAAAATAAAAAACATCATTTAGATAGATAGATTCGATAAATTAGACTTTTTATTTTATGGGGCAGTTTTGTTTATTATGAAGTAACTAGGGAAAATACAAACAAAATGAACGTTGCGACCGGTGTTAAAAATTTTCCTTTACTTTAATTTCACAATATTTAAACAATTATTTAATACCTACTCTCTAAAAATGAATCAGTCAAAAATGACCAATTACTACAGTTATTAGTGGCTGCTTTTTCACTTGTACCATGGTTAACCATGGGATACCATGGTATCCCAAAACTTAACAGCCAATTCTTAGGTAAAATTGTGCCCTAAATCCGAAAATACTGTCAAAAATTATTAAAGTAAAGCAGTTTTTGAGATATAGTCAATTCCATATTAAATGGAAATTGACTATATCATAAAAACTGTTTTACTTTTTTAACTTTTGAAGACAGTTTCGGATTCAGGGGACAATTTTACAAGGAAATAGAGTGCTAAATGTTCGGGATACAAATTTCTAATGACGAGAATTATTAGTTGCTGCTTTTTGACTATGAAAATTAGTAATTTTTGACTAATTCATTTTTAGAAAGTAGTAAAATATTAGCTATAAAATATTTAAAAGCAACATTGGAATAATTCTTTATTTTAAAATTAAAAAAAGTGTTTTCCTAAAAACTCCATTTCAAAAATAGTACCTCGGCATTAGTTTGCATTTAAATTTAAAACAAAAATAATGTAATAAAGTACATGGTTTTCATATATATTTTTTTCAAGACAAAAGATTGTTTGTTTGGATTATACAAAAATGTCAATATTTTTGTTAATTTATTATTATAATAAAACGGTCAATAATTTTTGTTTTTTTTTCAAAATATAAAAATAACATCATTTCACATTGGCGTACATTTTTAGCCAAATCGCTCGACGAGTTTTTTAAATAAGATTAAGTTTAGTGAAATTACTACTGTAATGTGAATATTACATTTTTTTAAGGGATTTTTTCCAAAACTAAATTATATATACCTAATTTTGAAATAATTAAATAAGTTATATTTATACATATATTGAATAATTTATTAAAAATTCAGTTAATTTCGGTGAAAACTACCTTAAAATAAATTAATGTTTTAAAAATATGTTAATTTATTATGTACTAAATAGATTTTATATAAATATAAAATAATGCCGAGGGCGTTATGCGGTTAGAGCTAAGCCGTCACGACACCGTTCTAGTAACCCACCTGCGATTAACCAGGTTATCTGTGTACGGGTCGCGCGGCTGTCGTTTCATAATGTCGGATTCCGGAGCCTCATAAGCCAGAGAAATAGCAGGCACCTATTGAGAGTAGGCCGACCAGTCGACGACGCAATACATTAAGTTAGTAAATGAAAATTTTACATGCACAAAGTATTAGACCTGTCCAGAATAGTGTGTAAGGGAGGAAGGAGATATACATTACAAATATATATTAAAAAGAAACAAATAAACTATAGTTATCTTTTTAAAACATATTTAATATTATTTATTTATTTTAATATAATGTGGGAGATAATTTATGATTGAAAATGAAAAGAACCAAAAGCGGGTGCAAAAAAAGCTTTTAAAATTACAATTCAGAAAACGTACTCATAATTTGTTTTACACGCATTCTTTTATCCACAAGCATGTTCTGCATCACATACACATTTATCCAACCTTTTTCACAAAAAAATAAATTAGCACGAAAAAATTTGTTTTAATTAAAAATTCAAGAAGGAATTGGTCAAAAGGAAAGCAGAAGTTAGCGTACCCAAGACATACAAATTTTAAATATATAAGCTGAAAGGTCTTTCTGTACTATCACTGTCAGTAAAAAGGACATTTTAAGACTTTACCTTTCGTTCACGAGTTTATCGTTAAAAGGATTTCTAGGTCGACGCTTCATAATATCAGACTCTGCATCTTCGTACGCCAGGGAAATGGCAGGGACCTGATTTCGGTTAAACAAATACTTACACATAAACATAAAAACATAAAATGGGATAAAATGAAAAAACTTACATGCCAGCACTAAACCTTGATTAGTCTATGTTTAGTACACAGATGTGAATGACTTAATATTTTTTATGTCTGATATAGTTTTTTATTTAACAGAACTACCTATGTTTTTAAATATTTAAATATAAATTCCATTTCTTTTTATCTCTAATGTTTTTATTAGTAGGTAACTATATTAATTAGTAGAATTTAAAAAAGGATTATATTAAATTAATTATTATTTCTTTAAATAAAGTTTAAGTATGTATAAATATGTAACATTTATTAAACACCAACTTGTACCAAAAACATCATACACAACAATAAAAAATAAATGAAATAAAAAAAACAATAGTAAACACATGATATGATATCCAAACACATCTGAATGGACAATGAATATAAACTAAACCATTGGAATAACTAAGACTAAGGGCTAGTGCTAAGCAAGCTGTATCGCATGAAATATGAGGGAAGTGTGTGTAATGTGTCGATTTGTAATAATAAAATTTAACACAATATTAATATAAACCCCAGATTTTTTAAAATAAACAATTGTATAAATATACCATTATTAAATTAATATCAACCAAAAGCATGCACAATATTTATCCGCAGGCATCAGATTCCCATTTTAGTACCAGTACCAAATAATATATATACAAATTAGTGGTTATTAGTAAGCTAATAATTATTTAAATTCTTAAACCATTAACAAAAAATAAAATAAAAATGCACCTATCATTGACTAGTTTATCATTTTGTGGATCTCTAGGTGGTCGCTTCATTATATCTGATTCTGCTTCTTCATAGGCCAAAGAAATGGCAGGAACCTAAATTGATTTGAAAAATAAAATCAAAAAGTAAGTATTTCGTCATTGTCATGTCATGTAGGAAAATGGATAAAAAATGGATTTTAACCAACAAAAACCAAACACCGCAACATTAATAAACATGAATTAATTCTAATAAATTTTAGCATAGCAAAATATGTAAGAACAAATATTATGTACTTACAAAGGTAATATTTTAAGTAAAATAACCTTATTTGTGTATATTATGTGTGGGCGACATCGATATTTTTAAGGTCATTATACCCATTCCTAATTGCCTATGTGTACTCTAAAACTCTATAAAGAACACTAAACTAAAGTAAACATTAAAAAACTGTAATCTTGATTTCGTTCACAAAACCTTACACTTTTATAGTTGTTTTTAACCCTCGATTATCATTTTATTAAACAAATATTTCTATTTTCTATTTCTATTTAAAAATAATATTTTTATTCGTTCTTTAATTTTTGTTTATCAATATGACCGTGTTCGGTATTTATTGTTGACAAAACATTAAATTTAAATATTAAAGGAATTTCTTAAGACATCCATAAAAATATTTATTTACGCATTTAAATTGACAATAAATTACGCATATTGTTTATTTAAACAATAAACACTTAAATTTAAATGTTTTTCCAAGCATTTTTAAATAAGGTAAAATAGAAGTAATAAAAACGTAGCGAGAAAATATAGTTATATATTTATTACCGTACCTTGACGTATTTAGAGACCGTCCTTTACTACTTATATACCTAAATTTTGTTATATCTACTTAATTAAACAAAGTGTTAAAACCGAGTGCATACTTTACGTATCGCAATACAACGACCTAATAGCTAATAGCAACTTAAAATACGTCCGTTATAACTCAATGCGCTTTAAACAAATCTGTATATTTTAAACCTTAAAATTTTGCAATTGCTACTAGCATACTTCATAGCCGATATATTACATTTTTAACGTTTAACATAGGTATATTAAAATTAACATGCATTATGTCGTTTTAAAATTAATGTACCTTTCGTTAACTAAATTATCTTTGTATGGGTCACGTGGACGTCGTTTCATAATGTCGGACTCGGCTTTTTCGTATGCAAGTGAAATCGCCGGCACCTTATGATTAAAAATCGTTATGAATATTGAGGATTATTTAATTTCTGATGCCTTAATTAATTAATTCTGGGGTTAATATATATATATATATATATATATATATTTATAAAATAATTAATTTAAAGTTAACTCACCATATCAGTTCCAAGATCGATGCAAAGAATAGTTACAGTACCAAGGGGTAATGGGATATCGCATAAAATAAATGCAAGGAAGGGAGAAATTTCAGGTATGTTTGATGTCAGTGTATATGCAATGGATTTTTTCAAATTGTCAAAAATCAATCGTCCCTCTTCTACGCCGGTAACAATTGAAGCAAAGTTATCATCTAGAAGAATCATATCAGCAGCTTGTTTTGATACATCAGAGCCGGCTATCCCCATAGCCACACCAATATCAGCTTTCTTCAAAGCAGGTGAGTCATTGACACCATCGCCTAAATTATAATTATTAATAAATATAACAAAATTTAATTGGTCAGCATGAATAAAAAAATTAATTACATATAAATTGAATTTTTTATTTGACACAATTAAATTAAACTTTATATGCATGCAACTAAAAACTGGGAACTAGGAGTTAAGATTTTGCACGCTTCGCGCGCTTCCCAACAAGCCAACATGTTTTAACACAACCTTGGCTATTAATGCCAACATAATAACTATAGCAGTGGCGGCTGGTGGATTTTATGTATACCAATATCACAGTTATTAGACATGGGACCCACACCAAATTTATAATAGTTTATAATGACATTAAATAAACAAGTTCGGCGCAAACAGAATTTAAATTTAAGTTTGCGAAAAAAAGTTAGTTTTTTCTGTCGCCTCACCCGCCTCCAGGGGGGCTATTTGAGATAATTCAAATTAAAGTGGTGCAATTTATTATCTACTATAATTTATCGACAAATTTAAAATTTTATTAAAAAAATCCAAATATTACAGGTTTTATACCATTTTAAATATTTTTTTATTATTATCTATGATTAAGTAAATGTATAAATCCAGAATTAGTAACCCCTTTATTATCATGGAACGAATTTATAATAACACCATGCAATTTCAATGGTTTTGAAATATGTCTAAGGTACAAAAATATTTTGACGACTCACCAGTTACAGCTACAATTGCGCCCATTCTTTGACAACCTTCTACAATAATCAGTTTCTGTTGAGGTGATGTGCGGGCAAATACAATTTCGGTATGATATCTTAGTATTTCATCCAGCTGATCAGAAGATAGATCTCTTAAATCAGAGCCATGTACTACAGCAGCTTTAGCTTCTCTAGGATTAACTTCAGATACCGGAATATTTAAACGTTGTGCAATATCTTCTACAGTTTCATTTCCTTCAGAGATAATGCCAACCGATTTTGCAATAGCTTTGGCAGTAATGGGATGATCACCAGTAACCATAATAACCTTTATACCAGCACTTCTGCATTTAGCAACTGCATCTGGTACCGCAGCACGAGGAGGGTCAATCATAGACATAAGTCCAACAAATCTTAAGCCATCAAGTTGGAAGTTTGCATCATCTGAATTAAATTTGAAACCTGTTGGATATTTGTCAGTAGGGAGCATAAAATCACAAAAACCAAGTACACGCTCTCCAAGTCCCCCAAGTTCTAAATATGCATTATTAAATGCTTCTTTCATTTCCTCGTCCAATACCTTTTCTTTTCCGCAAATAAAAATGCTACTACATTTTTCTAATATTCTTTCGGGGGCTCCCTTCATAACTAAACAGTATCTTGGATCATTGGGATCCTCATTTTCGTGGACAGAAACTTGATATTTATTGGTAGAGTTAAATGGAATTTCACATACTTTCTTATTCTTCTTTCTTATAGCCATTACATCCCCAAGAGCCAACTCCATACATTTAAGTAAAGCGGCTTCTGAAGCATCTCCATTAACTTCTCTTTTAAGAATGGGGGTGTTATTTTGACCTGGTTTAAATTCAGCTCTGTTGCAGAGTGTGGCAATTCTAGATAAAGCCTTAAATCCAGGACTTGTACGATCATATTGAACACCAGATTGATCTTCAGTTGTATCTGCTTCAATAATTTGATTATCAAACCACATGTGAGCCACTGTCATTCTATTTTGAGTCAATGTTCCTGTTTTATCTGAGCAAATAGTACTAGTGGATCCTAATGTTTCTACTGCTTCAAGATTTTTAACCAAGCAATTCTTTGAAGCCATCCTTTTAGCAGTAAGTGTAAGACACACTGTTACTGTTGCCAAGAGACCTTCTGGCACATTTGCAACAATAATACCAATCAAGAAAATAACGGCATCTAACCAATGGTAACCAAGAATAAAAGCAATTAAGAAAAAGGTAACACCTAAAAATACAGCCACTCCAGTAATAAGATGAATAAAATGATGAATTTCTTTGGCGATGGGAGTTTCACCAGTGTCAAGTCCAGAAGCAAGTCCGGCAATACGACCCATCACTGTATTGTCACCACAACTTATTACAACACCTTTGGCAGTGCCTTCAACAGCGTTAGTGGAAAAGAATGCTAAATTTTTTGTTTCCAAAGGATTTTCGTGAGTAAATTCGGGGCTACGACTTTGTGGTTCTGATTCTCCAGTAAGAGACGAATTATCTACTTTAAATCCTCTTGACTCTATAATCCTTATATCAGCTGGAATTCTATCACCAAATTTGACTTCCACAACATCACCTAATACTAAATCTTCAGCCCTAAGTGTTAATTTTTCGCCCTCACGTAATACCGTCGCAAACTGAGGTACCATATTTTTAAAAGATTCCATAATTTTTGAACTTTTGCTTTCTTGGTAATAAGAAAATATACCTAAAAATTTAAAAAATGAAAGCCTATTAAAAAATTGTGAATTTGTTATAGCTTACCAGTAACAATTACAACAGCAGCCAATACAATGCCAAGATATAAATTATCATCAGCAGGTTCTTCTACTGTACTAGCCTGTATAGAATAGGCAATAAAGCAAAGAATTGCACCGATCCACAGTAATAAAGCAAAACCACCAAATAAGTTTTTACAAAATTTTACCCATTCGGGGGTTGTTTTTGGAGGTGTAAGTGCATTGGGTCCGTCCCTTTCCAAATTTTCTTTTGCTTTTGCGTGACTTAGTCCCTGTAATACAATTCAAAAGATAAGTTTTTAATATTATAAATATAATATATTAATGTATTATACATATTACATGTGTTACAAACATGTATGTACAAGAAAAACATTTATTTATTTATATTTTTATTAAATTATTTAAAAAAAGAGATATACAACAGTATTAATCTAAAAAGAAGCCAAAACAATAATATAACGTTGTTTTATTTTTTTAATAGAAATTTTTCCAATCGCCGAAAGTACATATTTTCTATAATTGTCTGGCAGACTTTTAGTGTGGCCTAGCGCTTGCACATGGAATGAAATACGTAAATACGTCGTCCACTTTGATAATCTTTTTTGGCATTCTTTAGTAGGTATTATCAATGCTGCACATATGAACCGAAGATCCCGGACAACATTCGTGATATTCATACGAACATCACGTCGTGATTTTCACTAATTTTATTCATACTGATATCATACGGAAGTCAACGCGTAGTAAATGAAAATCATACGAACGTCACGTCGTGATTTTCACAAATTTTATTCATACGGACATCATCCGGATGTCACTGCATGAAAAATGAAAATCATGTCGTGATTTTATGCCAACGGTGTTTGTATAATCATCTTTGCGCCACGTTCGTACATTAAAAGAAAATTATGTTGAATCAACAGTTTTTTCGGTTAAATACATTTAATATTTTCTGGGATTTAAATTAACTATACAGTGTGGAACTCACTTATGGAATAAAATTCGTTATTCGTTGGGAAAAGATTTTTATGAAAAACGCTCGGACACGTAAACTTTAGTTTTTTATTCCAAATCTAATAATGATAATTTTAAATTGTATGCCCCCACCATTGTCCCCCCCGCACATTAGGCACCCTTATCTTAAATAACAACCCCACTTTTTTTCATCGAAAATTGATAGTGCACATTTTTTTGAGTACGACGATACCACATAAGTAGGGTTTAGTAACCATAATTTTCAATACAGGGTGAATATTTAAAAATTACAAGTATGAATTTTTTATTGTTATTCTATGATTTAGTTTCTTGTGTTGTGACTTTCGCTATTTAGGTATTCATGTTTTTTCGCTTTGTTATTGTTTTTTGTTATTGCCATTTTTTGCGTTTGTCCTTTTTGCATTGTTTAGATTTTTTGCATTGTTTAAATTTTTATTATTAATGAAACATTTTGTGCTTTACTTATTGAAGTATTTTGTTAGATCAGTTAATATTTTAGTTAAAAAATGCGACACTTGACAGAAACTCTGCAAATATAAATATTAATGATAATTGGTTACGGTGATATGTGCAGATCACAACAGCAAGTTGCAAACCTTTTTAATGGAAAATACCCAGATTTACCACCACTTTCTCAGGCAACTGTGTCTAAAATACATGCACAATTTCGTGAATATGGACACGTTAAACCATTACGCAGGACGCCTTATTTTATTGATGAAAATGTGAAAGTTAATATTTTATTAGCTTTTCAAGAACATCCAACAAATTCTACGCGTCAGGTTGAACGTGAAAACGACTTTAGTCATTCGACAGTTTTAAGATGTGTAAAAGCCGAAAAAATGCATCCATATAAACTACAACACGTACAAGAATTGATTGATGGTGATTCTGATAGAAGATTACAATTTTGCGAGCAAATGCTGCATATGTTAAACAGGAATGTTATTTCTTCTGCAGATATTCTTTTTTCTGATGAATCAACATTTCTATTAAATGGCGAGGTAAATAGACAAAATTGGAGGTACTGAGCAGAAGAAAATCCCCTCTGGATGCGACAAAGTCATACCCAACGTCCTCAACGTTTGGGCTGGTATTGTTGGTGATCATGTGGTGGGACCTATTTTCATTGAAAATCTTAACGGGGTCCCAACTTTAGCAGAGTTGTTTCCAAATCCATTGGAACCTAATCTTCCCAATGAAAGGATATGGCTTCAACAAGACGGTGCCCCCACTATGCTCTTCCTGTACGGAATTATTTAAATGACACCTTTCCACACAGGTGGATCGAAAGAAGAGGTTTTATAGAATGGCCAGCAAGATCACCGGATCTAACACCTCTAGACTTTTTTCTATGGGGATATCTAAAAAAGAGGGTGTTTAAAACACAACCTGCTAATTTAGATGAATTAAGAAACAGAATTACTGGAGAAATTAGGAACATAACACCGGAGGTTTTAAACAGAGTGCGGGAACAATTGCACCGTAGATTACTAAAGTGTCAGGAAGTGGACATTTTGAACATTTATATGATTAAAGAACAGTTTATTTTTGAATTTTTAATTAATTTTAAAATAAAAAGTTCAGTTTTTTTATTTGTCATTATATTTCCACCCTGTATTGAAAACTGTTAACCCTACTTATATGGTATCGTCATACTAAAAAAAAATGTGCACTATCAATTTTCGATGAAAAAAAGTGGGGTTGGAATAAAAAACTAAAGTTTACGTGTCCGAGCGTTTTTCATAAAAATCTTTTCTCAACGATTAACGAATTTTTGTCCATAAGTGTTCCACACTGTATATAGTTAATTTAAATCCAAGAAAATATTGAATGTTAAAATGTTGATTCCATTGTTAACATACTTTTTCTTTCAATGTACGAATGTGTCGCAAAAATGAATATCCAAACACCGATGGCATAAAAAATCATGTCGTGATATTTTATGCCATCGGTGTTTGGATATTTATTTTTGCATTACATTCGTACATTTTGAGAAAAAGTATACCTACATATAAAGGGTGTCCACTTAAGAGTGCTCTAACTTTAAAATGAAATAAAACAAACTACACTTAAGATATTAGGAAAAAAATATATTTATTTAAAAGAACATCCTCTGGCATTAATTATGAAAAATATCATCTTTCAAATGCCCCCGCGGCTGCGCTCCACAGCGAGAATTCTGCAGGTCAAATTTTCTATCACTTTTTCGCACATTTCGGGTTCGATTTAATTTATTATACGAGTAATATTGGCCTTCAGTGCTTCAATTGTTCGTGGCTTATTCACGTATACAAGGGACTTTACGTAGACTCCACAAAAAAGTCCAGCGCCGTTAGATCGCATGATCTCGTTGGCCACTGGATATCGCCGCCGCGCAGGGCTCCCAGCAGTCCATGTTGCGAGAAATAGTGACTTAAGAGACTAATAATAAAAAATAAACGACCAAATATAGACCAAATTAATTACCGAAATAACTATAAAATGGAGGTATACATTTTTTTGGGATAAAAGATCTAAATTTGAATTTAAAATACATAGAGATAACTTGAAATTATAAATTTTTATTGAATTAAATTTAACAAGTAACCATAACTGTTATAAAATACATAAATAACAAAAAAATAGTAAATTCTGTAATAAATTATAACTTATAATAAATAGAATCACATTTATATAAAAGGCACTGGCATCAGTCATTTAATGGGTTATATTTTTTTTGGTGGGCTGCAGCTGATCTATAATTTTCGCCTTTCGTTTTTCTAAATCTTGGGCAAGACGACTAATCTTGTAAGTTACCTTCCCCGCTTCTTTTTTGGGATGGTTCACCCCTTCAAACATTAGTTGAGCCATACATATTTTAACATTTATTTGTTTGCAACAATACGTTCTTTATGGTCTTTTTTATTAAAAATAAAACAATAATTTTTAAGTCTTTACATACGGGGTGTTCAAAATTTAAGCATTAAGGTGTAAAACTTATTCCGCCCCTGGTAAACAAAAAAAGCAAAACATGTTTCAAGAACACTACTTTAAGAGGTCCCTACCAGGGTCCATCATATTAAATTTTTATTAAATTATATTCAGTACTTAAAAAGTTATTCAAGGAAAACCAATTTGCAAGGGCGTCCTCGTCTCCGTAAGGAGGGCCAGTAGGAAATTTTCTTATAGGAATGTGTTATCTTATTTTTTCATGTTCTATCTGAATCCGAGATATTTCCCACATTTTCCCGGACACCCTGTATAGGTAGGTAGTGTTAACCTAGCGAACCAAAACTATAAACGTAAACGAAACCCTAGACCAAACCAGAAACAATTCAGCAATAATTTTGGCGGGCGGTTCGGGTCTGGACGGCGGGAACTTTAAATGTAAACTGCAAAGTTTTCGAATGTTTCACTTGGTTTACTGTGGTTTCGATATTTATAAAACTGAGAAAATTTATATTACTGTGGTTTCGATATTTATAAAACTGAGAAAATTTATATTTAAAAAAATATTTTTTAATAGTTGATTTTAACAGAAAATATAGACTTTATAGACTTTAGGTAAAAAAATAGACTTTTATAGACTAAAGACAAAAATATAGACAAGTCTTTAAAAAAACTACCTGCTGGGAGCCCTGCCGCCGCGTGAAATGACGCCGTTGAAACGTTTGGCGAATTAAACATTAATTTTGTTGGTAAATTTGAATAATTTGAATGCGTTGAGCAACCGTGTAACGCTCCATTATCAAATGTCATAATATGCCAACAAAACTTCAAAATATTTGACAACTGTGTCTGTACTGACTTAGCCATAGCCGCCTATCAAACATCGAGCGTACCTAATTGGACACCCTTTATATTGAATCAACAGTTTTTGTGGATTTAAATTAATAGTTAATTTACATCCAAGAAAATATTAAATGTATTTAACCGCAAAAACTGTTTATTCAATTGTTAACATACTTTTTCTTTTATTGTACGAATGTGGCGCAAAAATAAATAGCCAAACATGTCGGTGCACCGATGGCATACAAAATCATGTCGTGATTTTTTATGCCATCCGTGTTTCGATATTTATTTTGCGCCCAATTCGTACATTGAGAGAAAAAGTATACGGCCATTCCACGCGTAACGTATGGGACAGTTGCAAGTTTACAAAATAACATTGTTCTATTATATTACTAATGTAAAATTTTTATAAATAGTTCTAAACAAAAGCTTTATTTGGCAAAATTAGGTATCGTGGTTGTCTGTTTAATTCCTTAAAAATTAATTTTTTTATTCAAAA